GCCAAGGCGGCTACGAAGTCACGATCGTTAACGATAAAGCGGTCGTGACCAACGCCGCTGGAAAGACGTTGGGCGTCCTCAACAAAGTTCAGCGACGCAGCGAATTGCTTGGCCTCAAACCGACCTCAGGGGCCACGGTACTCTTCGATGGCAAGCCTGAAACAGGCTTCCTGAACGCCAAGATCAACGATAAAGGGGAACTGCAGATCGGAACGATCACAAAGGACCCTGTCCAAGACTTCCGCATGCATTTAGAGTTTCGCCTTCCCTACATGCCGTACGCGACCGGGCAGGCACGTTCCAATAGCGGGCTCTACATCCAAGAGAGTTATGAAGTTCAGATCCTCGATTCGTTCGGGCTTCCTGGCGAATTCAATGAATGCGGATCGCTCTATCGCACGAAAAGCCCTGACATTAACATGTGCTTTCCTCCACTCTCTTGGCAGACGTACGATGTCTACTTCACCGCTGCTCGCTTTGATGACGCAGGCAAAAAGATTGCTCCGGCTCGAATCACCGTTCAGCACAATGGGATCCTAGTTCAAGACAATTTCCTGATACCTAATAAGACCGGCGCCGGCAAACAGGAAACTCCCGAGCCACGACCGATTAAGTTGCAAGACCATGGAAATCCCGTGGTGTTTCGCAACATTTGGATCGAGTACCTAGGTGGCGATACCGTGACATCGGAAGACGTTTCCGCCAGCGAGAATCTTCCGACTCCAGCCAAGCGATAACGGTCTGTGAAGAATACGTTCTGCCTCGATCGTCCGAGGCAGAACATCATCCGCCTATGCTTGGCGCTGGATGGTGACCATGCACATGTCGTCGTACTGCGGGCTGTCGCCCATGAATTCGCGGCAGCCATCGATGATCGCTTTGCTGCAAACCTCGACGTCATCGGTAGGGCGAGAAACACACTCAAGCATACGATCCATACCGAACTGATCGCCTTGCGAATTCATCGCTTCGTTGATCCCATCGGTGTAAATGAAGAGCATCTCGCCGGGTTGAAGCGTGAATCGGGCGATATCGTACTCCATGTCTTCCATGATGCCTAACGGCAGCCCAATTTCTTCTTCCGCAATCATCTGGCATTCGCCATTGGGCTTTCGCAAGATCGGCGGATTATGCCCAGCATTGATCAGCGTGATTTCGTTCGACTGCGGATGCAGGATGGCAATCGCTAACGTGACGAACTTATCTGCCGGTGTTGCGGCGGCAAAATTGTTGTTCAAGTGAAATGCTGCCTGCTGCGGATCAGGCATGGATGCCAGGCAATACCGGGCTTCAGCCGACAGCTTGGCCATCATCAATGAAGCCGCAATCCCGTGCCCGACCACGTCTCCAACCAAGATCGCCGTGCCGCCATCTGGAAGCGGAATGTAGTCGTAATAGTCACCGCCGACCGAATTCGCTGCTAGATAATAGTGATAGAAGCGGTATCCCTCGAGCTTAGGTTCTTCCGAGGGCAAAAAGCCAATCTGAACCTGATTCGCCGCGTGGAGATCTCGCTGAAAAGAGATCTGGCGAATCGCCGCATCGTGCAACTGGGCCCGTTCAATCGCCGCGGCGGCTTGCATTCCGACGCTGACGGCAACTTCCAGGTCTTCTTTTTGGAATCGCTTGCGCTGATCGAGGGTATCAATCTGGATCACGCCGATCACTTCATCATCCGCATTCACCAGCGGAGCACACATGATCGAACGAATCTTGAAGTCGGTAATACTCTGACTCATCTCAAACCGCGAGTCAGCAGCAGCGTCCGCCGAAAGGACCGCTTCACGCGTTTGCATTACGTGCTTGACGATCGTTCGGCTAATGCGAATTTCTTCCTCGTCACCCTCACGCCGAGCCTTTGTCCAGCGGGGAACCATCTTGCCGGAATCGTCCATCAAAATGATGAACCCGCGGTCTGCCTGAAGGAAGATGCGGAAAAGTCCGTCCAAAACTTGCGGCAACACTTCATCCATGGAAAGCGTGCCGGTTAGTCCCCGCGTAATCTCTAACAACGCGTTCAGCTTAACCTCGGGACTAGCTGTTAGATGCACGGAACCGGAATGCGACGAAACCTCGAACTTCGACATAATTGTGGAAGTCGCGCCGTCGTCGTCGACCATCACCGTGCCAAATGCGCCGGGACCGTCGGCACGAAGCCCTACCGTCTCGTTGGGCGATGGTTTTTCTTCTTCACGCTTGAATCCGAATGAGATATCACAAATTCGGATGGTATCGCCTGGCTGAAGGAGATGCGGTTTGGCGATTTGCTCGTCGTTAACAAATGTTCCGTTGCGGCTGCCTAGGTCTGCAACA